ACAATGGATTATTTGAATTTTACACATTCCTATCGATTTTAATAAAAATAAAGAAAATTTTTATATGATTTGTATTTTAGTTTTAATTTTAAAAGTCAATTATAGAACTAGTATCTAGTACCTAACTAGTATCTAATTAACCATGTAACTACAAAGATTAATACGAACATTGTGTATGATGTAATTTATTCTCTAGAATAAATTATCAAATTATTGAAAATTATAAACATATACCTACTTCTATAGTAAAAAATAATATCATTAAAGTATGATCGCTATTAATTTTAATTTGTTATGTTTATTGTTATTATAATTAAATTGTTTTCACCATTCATCATGATTCGCAATACACTATCATTATTGTTTATAAACCATTTGGCTCTTAAGAGTACACTATTTATTTATGAGTGACTCCATAAGATTATATATTATTATTTGATAGTATGTATATAAATATGCATTATGCTTTCTACACCATGCATAGATTAATTTTCAGCCATAATCCGTGCAATATGAAGATTGGTGAGCCAATACTCCTCACTCGTCAACCAGCTGTAAAAAATCTCACACAGATTTTACTTAATGTGCATTTTACAATAAAAATTGTAGTGATTGCGAATTTTATTTAGATAATGCATATAAGACAGAAGCATACAAAAGTCATAGAAGATTTTGGTTAATGGTAACATTATGGCAACAGATTTCATAACCCTAAGAAAATCGTTTTACTTATATTTTCATTTGCTGCAATCATCAAAGTTCCTGAAAAAAGTACCTACAGGAATAATTCTTCAAATTCTCTTTAACTACTATTTTAAATCCTGATTATCATCCCTTGTGTTGCTCTTGACTATTTTTGGTATCATTATTTTTATTGACTCTTTGGTATATTAAATGTGTCACCTACTTAATTTTAATTATTTAAAAATCGCTTATTAATATTGTGTGATGTATATCACATATTATTTATGAAGATTATTGTAAAATGTTTATACTATAATATATTTTTCTTATACGTAGGTTTATAGTTGACGAATAAAAGTTCAATATATAAATATTGGTTATTAAGGGTAAAGATATAGAATATGCATCAATATATAAGTAATATATATATATATATATATATTACTTATATATATAAGCTTCATGTATAGTTTACTTTTAATACAAATAACAATCGAAAAATTATTTGTTTTGTTAAATATAAGTATGTCCTTTTATGTATACTTTATTTTTATTATTATTATTATTAATAATATATAATTAATAATAATATCAATCCTAATGATATAAACATTTAATTTAAAAAAATATTCCAAAACCGCTTTCTCGATTAATATAAATCTATAAAGAAATATTTTAAAAAAATAATACTTTATAATAGTAAGCTATATTAACGACCTACATTTATTTTAAAATACATTAACAATAATTCGTGTATGGTTAGTTTATTGATTATTTACAATGTTCTAAAGACATAGTTGAAAAATAAATATCTGACATTATGTTCAAGACTGACCTATAAGATAACAAGCATAAATATATTATTAATGACTAATATTTATATTTTTAAAAATATCACCTTATTTATTTTTTAGTTAGAAAAGCTAATTATATTTGTTTTTGTTAAAAAAATTATAATTATACTCTTGTTATTTCAATTATTACAAAAATTCATAACTACATAATATAGATAAAAACATATATAAATAAATACACACCTTCAAACATAAATAAAAAGCATTTAATATATACATATATTCAAATACAAAATGAATAAACTAATGTGACTTGAAATTAGTTAAATACTTAATTATTTTACTACAGAAAATGATTAACATACATGTATATTAAACGAGAATTTTCAATTATGTTTATTGTTAATATTTTTAGTTTATAAAATCTAAACAGTATTGAAATATAAAATTATTAAATATAATGTATTGAAAAAAATTGTATACTGGTATCAGTATTTTTTAAACTTTTTAAATTTTACTATACATCGGTATGTCTTTTAGATTTAAATTCATTATACAATCAAATAACCAAATTAATATAATTTTTATAATTAATGCTGAAAACCCACAAATATTCTTACATACACATTAAGACACAATGTTTAGTCACTGCATAAATTCTTATATCACAATTTACCAAATAAAAATTTGCCTTAATTTGATTTGGATAATTTTGTTTACTGAAACCCAGAGCCGAACCAAAATATTTGAATACTTATATTAATTTCATATTACAATATATCATCAGTGAATTATAATTATTTGTTCGTCCTACGTTCTACAGTATCCATTAGTACGAATGACGTATTATTTAAAGATTAATAACCGTATTCAAGGTATTTTATTCCTTCATAATTTTTTGTAGAATTCAGTGTTAACGTAAATATCAACTTGACTGTTCTAAAACCTATTTACAAGGCCTTCTGAAATATTTTCAAATCGCTTTTTTTATTTTTAAACTGTAGCTAAGGTAAGGTTATATAGCCGTATAGGTATAATATAACATACATTTTACAAAGACAAATAAATATTTGACTACTTTGATTAAATATAAAGACAATTTTGAAAGCACATTTTACAATTACTACAGTTTTTACTTTTATTTATTTTTTGCTTTATTTTTTGAGATAAATATTTATTACATAATATATAAAACTATGGCTAAGAATTACTTCTTTCATTTTATGTCTAATTAAATCTGTTACGGAGACGATTTACTATTATTCTAACAAGAAGTTATGCTATTGTTAAGTGAACAACGACTTCGAATTCTTAAGTGAGTCTACTGGGGTCAATATATTGATGTGATCACCGGACATGGCCACATTAATATAGTTAGTAAAAGTAATATACGGTCACTAAACTCCTATAAGTTAGGTTCAAGTGCAATACAACAAATAAAATTATTTATTTCATTTATCAAGTATTAAACTTGTATAGATACCTGATTCATTTTTGTTTTTAAATAAAAATAATATATTTTAAGACTAATTAACAATTTATAATATATAGGTAAAGTTTATAAAAAAACTTGTTAAAAGTTGTCATGATCGTTTTTTACATTAATCGTTAAAGGAAAAATAGGTAGAATTAGTTATAATATTTGTTTATTATTAACACATTAAATTATATCTGTATAGACATGTGTTAGGGAAAATCTAGATGATTATAATCTACAAATAATCTTGAATTTAAATTAAGACATTGTGTATTTTTTTATTCATAATATATTCTATAATAGTCTTATTATATAATAAAATATTAATATCTATTCCTTTAAAATGTGCATAGTTTCGATCTCATCCAGACGTCTAGTTGGTATATATTGTATATTGTTTTGTCTTTCCATTTACTACCGTCTCATATCCCCAAACATCTAACATATTCGATTCGTAAACATTATTTCATTATTTTCAAATTTACTATTATTTTTATTAGAGTATAACCTTTCATACGTTTAAGTTCGAGCATAGGAGTCAATAGATTCACAATGTTATACCTTTTGTATTAATTTGCAATGAATACTTAAAAAAGTGCTACCTACGAGCATTTGAATGTTTTATGTTATCAGTTATAATTTCTTTAACAATTAGAAACCAAAAATTTAATTTATAGAATTTCGAAATTTTCTTAAAAAGTCTAAGTTCCATTTTAAATCGCTTACAATTACTGTAATTGATAATCACAAAAATTTAAAATAATAATACAATTTTACAATAAACAAGTCTAGTGCATAGCATTTAGACTATATATATTATATTCTGTTCGTGTGTTATAAATAACCGAACAAAAACATTTGTTTTAATGAGATATTTAATATTAATAATCAATAAAATATGGGAATTCAATCTTTATTTATTTGGAAATTTACGTAAATTTCATTGTTTCATAGTTACTCAGTTATATACTTCATTTATTATTCTTATAAAACATTAATATTACGTAAAAATTATTATTTATGAGCAATGGTTTATTTTACGATAAACTTCAGTCCATATTTATTGTTCTAGTTATAAAATATAAAACCTTGAAAATATTTAGTAAAACAAAAAAGTGAAAACTAATCAACTAATTTACTAATTAAATAAAAATTAATGAAAACAAAATACTATCTTTAATTTCTTCTGTTTAACTATGTGTCTTTAAAAATAAATGTTATCAACATACTCATTAATGTTATATAATATCGATAACATTTAATATTATATTTGTCTTATTGTAATGCTCTCTTGTCAACTATTAATTTGTTCCGCTGGTCTTATGATATTTTACTTATTCTTAACACTCAACATAAAATAATAAAAAATTATTTTTATAATTTGAAATAATTTTAAAATAATACGATTAACATTATTCTTTACAATACTATCTACTATTCAAGGTACGAGTTTATTGTTTATAAATTGTTCAGATTCAGCATTGTTTAATTGTTTCGTTGTATACATAAAAATATCAAAACATATGTATCTTATTTTATGTATTTTGTAACTGCAATTAAAAACTGATATCGGTACGTATTAGATGTCGTGTTTCAATTATGTTAAAAAATCTAATTTAACCGTTTTACATTTAAAAATTGATTACATTCAATATCGAAAATTAGCACGAACTCGTTATGTTGTGGTCCAGTATCTAAAACATACAAGCGTTTTTATTACATGTTTACTACATGCATACTAGCCATGACCTACATCCGATTACTATTTCGGCCTATATATCTAGTCAGTTAGTGTAATTTTAAATTTTTATTAATTTAATGATTGAAAAAATTAATGGATAAAATGCATAGTACAATATGTCACGGAAATAGTACACATTATTAAACAAATGATAAAAATGATACGAAAATCCATCAGTCGACGTCGTCATCCTTATATGAAATTGATATCTTTAAACACTACCTAAGGATAGCATCCTATAACACCATCCCAGAATATTTTTTGGTGATATTAGAGTTCTGACCATGACCGTATTGTGTTGTAGGAAACGTTAGTGCGGTATTCACTTATAAATGGAAGGGCGAAGACATGGCCCGAATGCTGGATGATACGAAGAGGAGAGTGATGGTAAAAATCACAATAGCCAGTCATTGCACCAGACCGTACGGTAACATAAACAGGTATTTATGTACATTATTTTACTAAGTTACGGTAAACAATTTATTCTTGGATTATTTTTGTGGGTATTAAGGGGTAAAAAATTCCAAAATGCTGTTTTGTAGGAAAATATCTGAGAAAATAAATTTTTATGTTCTCGGAACTGTTTTTATTGTTGTACAAATAACATGTTTTTAAAGTGAGTTTATTTTCATTATTTTGTCTAAGTATACATATATGAGTAAATATACTAAAACAGAATATTTAAAAAATATCCGTTATATAATTGGTAAATAAAATTTATATCTAAGTATATATATATATTAGAAACTTACTAAAATTTGTTTATTTTTTACAATATTGTTTACAACATTGAAAAAATGTGTTGAATGTTTGGGTACAATAACCTATATTTTCTTCACAGTGATTTTTACAGTTATTAAACATTAATGTTGTTTAAAATATATGTATTGAATTTTTAATATTATTCTTAAAAATAATAAATAAACGCTCAATAGTATACTAAATATAATAGAAAACAGTAAAAGAGATTTATGAATATACTTAGTATATTATATTATAGTTTTTTTCAATAAATAATAGAAGAAAACATGTGTCGTAACTTAAAAGTAATATTTTATATGTAATTGGTAATCAACGAAGAGTCCGAAAATCAGAACAATTTGGTACTATAAAAATACTTAAAAAATTTTAAATATAAAATATAAAAATATTTACTTGTAATATGACAATAAATTATACAAATATTGTGGAATAAACGAATAAAAAACTTTAGGATCTTGTTTTTATATTTGTTAAAGACTATGTTGACTTACTACTCTATATACCTTCGGAAAAATGTTCACGTAAAATGAAGTAAAGTAATGTAAGTGAATATAAGTATATAATTATAAATAATTTATAAACACTAATGAGAAAATCTAGAGTAGTGCATGTGATATATGTGAATGAGCCCATTCTTGATGAAAGGCAGGAATAATGAGGGAAAATATTTACAAAACTCAGTGCATAAGTTTTCTCGAATTCCAAACTTTATCTATTGTGATTATTAACAAATTAAATATAGGTGAATAATTTAGGATGGCAATAGTTGTGATTTCCTTATCTGAAATCTATAGAATTGCAAAAAGCTAAATTATCAAAATTAAATAAACGTACGTGTAGTCCAAAACAAATTTTAAGCTCAATTAAGTTGTTCGAATTAAAAACTATCTATAAATATTAATAGTGATCTATACTTTGATCCAACAAAGCTCAATAACATAAAAACTAAAGTTATTTCTAGAATTAATAGCCATAAAAACGAGTTTAATTTATCTTATTATTTATTGATGTACATACACTACAGTTATAACTTATTGTAATATATTAATATTCTTTAGCGAATGCGAGACAAAACCAAGACGATTAACAATGTCAATGGTTGAAAAATTAATAAAATTACACCTAACTTAAATATAAACAAAGGAATAATAATTTTGCATTTATAAATTGAAATATACTAATCATACAATGAGTATAATGGAAAATTCTATATTTTTTATCCAATTAAAATACAAATACAAATCACCAAAGAATCTAACATGAACAGTTAATTATACTTTAATACATGAACAATGTTTTTCAGTGAATTACTGAACTGTGATAAATATATAAATTTAACTTAAACTTTAATTATTATGATATTTATTTAAATATTTTAAATAATTATAAGAATTTAAATAGGTACACAATACAATTCCTAAAAGTGTATTACATATAGTAACGTTTTTAGCATAAAATATCAATTAGTTGAAATAAGTAATTGATTTTTTTATAGTGTTTTGGTAGTGTTATCAGATATTGATTTTGTGTTATAAAACTGAAATACATTTGTAAAAACAAATGACAGCATTTTTATTTTTAATTTATGTTCTTATTAAGTTCCCCTGTGGGCGGGGGCCAGAATACACCCACGGCAGTCCATGCCCGTCGTAAAAGGTGACCAAAATCGACCTAGCAATGGGCAGCAACATTGTTAGTATCAAGTAGAGATTCATTTTTACTTGAATAACATCACCTAGCAATAAGTGATGTAATTGCGATGCAGAAGGAAACAGGAAACCACTGCATTAATTCTCCCAAACATCAAGCAATGGGGGACAATCATAAGAATAGGAAACAAGACGATGGGATTCGGAACCCGGAGTCCGGCAAGGGAAGACAGAACATAGCTTCCCAGGTCGTCAACCAGCGAAATCCATGTCAAAACAACAAAAAACAAAACATTAGAAATAAAATCAAAAGCAAAATTAACCCAATCAAAATGGGAACGTGGACTTTAAGATCGTTGTCAAGGCCAGGAAGATTTGAAGAACAACAAATGAAACTAAATCAGCTTGATATTTTAGGTGTGTGTGAAACTAGATGAGGTGAAAACAGAGATTTCTGGAGTGATGACTTTAGAATGATACATAGCGGGGATAAGCAAGGAAAAAACGGAGTTGGAATACTATTAAACAAAGAATGGGGACTGCAGGTAGAAAATACCAATCATGTGAATGATAAAATATTACTAATACAATTGAGGACATCCACAGTAAGCATGATAATCATTCAAGTATACTTTCCAACCTTGAATAGTAAAGACGACGAAATTGAACAAGTGTAAGACTCTCTAGATGAACAACTAGGAATAACTCGAAATAGCAATAATGTAATTATTATGGGCGATTTCAATGCAGTAGTAGGAGAAAGACAAGTCAATCAAATAATAGGCAAACATGGTCTAGGAACAAGAAACATCAGAGGAGAAAGATTAATCAATTTTCGTAAGCAGAATAATTTTTTAGTCATCAACACAATGTTTGAAGTACCGAAAATAAGACGTTATATATAAGTAGCACCAGGGAATACTAACCGTTATCAAATTGATTATTTATTAGCAAAGAGTCGTTTCAAGAGACAAATAATGACAAGTCACAGTTATCCTGGTGCAGAAATAGATAGCGATCACAATCTAGTAGTGATGAAGTACAAAATAATACCCAAGAAAATTACAAAGCGCTCCAAATGTACCATATGGGACGTGGAAAAACTCAAAAATGAAAAAACTAGACAAAAGTTCCAAAACAAAGTATATAACAGACTAATAGCTACTGGTATCGACCCTCCATGGGAGGAAGTAGTTAATAATATTCGAAAATCTGCTGTGGAATCAATTGGATTTAAGAAATTGACCCCAAGGAAACCATGGATAATAAATGAGATAATAAACTAAATAAAATACCGTAATAAATTAAAGAAGACCGATGATGCGATATATAGAATAATAAAGAACCGTATTACCCAAGAGTGTAGAATTGAAAAGGAGAAATGGATGGATGTAACATGCGAAAATATTAAAATAAATATGAATGCAAATAAAATGGATAAAGCATATGGAATGATTAAAAGTTTATCAAGACTACCGAAGCCAAGAAGCAAAATTATTAAAAACAGGAATGGAAAACTGATTCTAGATGAAGATGAAATAGCGAAGAGATGGAAAGAGTACATAGAAAATCTATATGAAGGATTGATAGGAGAAAATATAACCGAGTCAAATAAAGAAGATGTTGGGCTAATTATAAGAAAAATCAAATTTGTTAAGGCTCTAAGGCATAGATTCTTAACCTTTTCTTAGCCATGGACCCCTTTAAAGCATAAAATAAAATCACGGACCCCCCTGCAAAAAAAAAAAATTATATATATAGGTAAATAAATATAATTTTTATTATACGGTGACGGGTCAACAGAAGTGATAGGTTTCAGTGTTAAATTGAACTGCTCGTTAGATTGTATTGCCATGTTATATTATTTTACGATTACGATAGCTTTTTATGGCATATAAGATTATCGTAATCTAAGTTTTATATTTAAAAACATTGTTGTCTGTCAAATGGCTTTCGAGTGTTTTAACAATTATAATTATTTTAAAAATACTATCAAAACAAATTTATTTTGGCTTATTTCAAAAAAACTCACAGCCACCCCGTGGACCACTGAGTAGTCATCTACGGACCCCCAAGGGGTCCATGGACCCCGGGTTAAGAACCTATGCTCTAAGGGAATTGAAACAAGGTAAAGCGGCAAGAATAGATAACATCACGGTAGAATTATTAAAAAATGTTGGAAAAAACACAGAACACAAGCTATTTGAAATGATTGAGAAAATATATAGGGATGGTAACATTCCAAAGAACTTTGCCAAGTTCAATACAACATTTTTTCACATGTTTTATCTTCACTTCCAGCATGGTATTTACTGGTCAGGTCCTATTACAAAGTCATTGAACTGAATTACTCCATTGTTCTTCACCATAATATTATAAGGGGTTGTCGATCGAACTTTATAATTATTATGAAATAGTCGGATTCCGAATACTAAATTCTCTTCCTATTGTTCCAATTATTTAAAATGCCTTTAAAATTTTTAGAACTCAAATAAAGAATTGAATACCTCAGTACACAATTGTTGAGTGAAACTTCTTCTATTTATAATGTTCATGAATTTAAGTACAATTTATGTGCAACAAAACATTCTACTATTTATAGTTTTTATTGAAAATAATTTACTTCGTATCCATAAATGATAATTTATGGTAATATATTAGAAGAACTTGAACTTCGTGTATTAAAATAAGCTTTTTGTTTAGTTAAATCTCAGACTGTACAATATTTAATAGAGTGATATTAGACGCTACTAAATATTTACATATCTAAAGCTGTTATATTGCGACGTTTATTGAAGATAAAGGTTATCTGCAAAACTATTGTATTCATTGAACTATAAATTATATATTATTATTTATGTCTTGTCTAAGACTAATAAAATATTATGACTCTCGATATAGTTTTCCATGATTGCACTCACTAGGTAAACATTTAAAAAATATGGAAACAAAGACTGGCCATTGAGTAATTCATTTTGTTTCAAACATTTCATCACAAACTAATATTTTATTTTGATTTTAATTTAAAA